AAATGGCCCTCGATCTCAAAGACATTGCTACCTTGACTCCAAAATTTCTTGATACTATATATAAACATTTTAAAAATGAAGTTCCGGACTCGTAAGTTCTTTCCTCCATTTTTTTTTTCTATCATTTTTGCTAACATTGGTTGTGAAGTAATAAGGACGTATGAAATGGAAGACTTCACATGAAAGACGATTAAAAAAAAAATGTTTGATAGGTCGAATTACCTTGAAGGTTCTAAAAGTTAACAAATTTATTCGCTCCTTTAAAAAAAAGAAATTGGGACTTGAGGCTTCACCTAGGCGTCACTATGCTCAAGAGTTTCCTCCAACGATCAAAACACAAAACCATAGAAAAGCAACAAAAATTTCATGCCAAAGCTCATTTTCCTGTCAGCCCTTCAACTCTAGTGAAAAAAGCGATTGTACCAGAAACATGTCGTTCACAAGCTGAGGACATTATGGCGGGTTTGTTGAGCGGTCAGGAGGAAAAAGTTGGTTGGCGATGGAAAGACGATCCAATGAAAAATACTCCATTAAAAGGTGAATGGATTGAATCAAAGACAAGGAAAAAGCTTACGGACGTCGATCGTGTGATCCTTTACGTTCATGGTGGAGCTTACTTCATGGGGAGCGCTGCCCAACAACGTTTCATGATACAAAAAGTTGCCAAGGCTGGTGCTGCTCGCGTCTTTGGGTACGGAGTTCGTCTTGTTTATGAATTTAGTACCACACACATGTATGGTTTCATTTATGTCTACGCATGTTTTATAGTTTTGATTATAGATTGGCCCCTCAGTCACCATTCCCGGCCGCGTTGGTGGACACGTTGGCTGCTTACCTTTACCTAATACAACCTCCGTCAGATGCTGGATTTGATCCAATAAATCCAAAAAATATTATTATAATGGGCGATTCGGCTGGTGGTGGTCTCGCTTTGTCAACTTTGTTGGTACTCCGAGATGTCGGTCTTCCGCAGCCAGTTGGTGCCGCATGTTGGTCTCCATGGTGATTGATCAATCTTAATTTACTGTAAAATTTTTTAAAAAAAGAGAACCGAAAAATAAAATTTCCACTCTTTATTTATTAGGGTCGACCTCCTTCATTCATTGCCCTCAATATTCACAAACAGTGCAACTGATTACATACCCAACGGGTTCGTGCACAAAGCATCTCCAGCGAATCCAATAAAAGATCATACAAACCTCAACGAACGATTGTCGAGAGTTCAATATTAC